TTACTTTTTGCACTATTTTTTCCATTCAGAAAGAATACCTAACTCAGCACAGGCAGGCTACAGCAGCAGCTGAAATTCTGTGTTCCAAATTCAATGAATCGGAATGGATTGCTTTACAGAAACAAATGAGCAATTACAGTTGCATGTTTTTATTTTACAAAATCTATTCTTCCATCAAGGATTTTGCAGAAGCTATTGCTTGCTTGCTTGCTTGCTTGCTTGCTTATTTAACTCTTGCTGCAAATCAGCACTCCTACCCACAGATAAGGCTAGACTTCTTGCACATTTTCTCTTGAGTTGCTCTTTGAGTCTACCACTACAGGCAGAATTCTGGTGTGTAAGTTGCTCTTATATTTTTATCATGTTCTCCATCCTGGAACATGATAAAAATATACAAGGAGAACACACACACAAACATTATATATGCAGGATTCAGATTCTACTCCAGCCTTCACATTATCTGATATGACCTATATCACGTGATATCATGTCAAACCAAGCTACAAATAGCTTATCTAACATAGTGGCAATTTTTTCCTCCCGATAAAGCTTTTTTTAAAGAAAAGAAGGAATCTATTGTTAAGGTCACACTCTTCTCTCCTCCCACCCACACCCTCCACAATGGTGCTTGTTAAATTATTTCTGTTCACTTTAATCCATTTTTTAATTCTTCTTCTTTTCCTTTAAGAGGAAAAAAAACTTTCTCCTTTTATCTCCCTCCTGTCACTGAAAACAAATCCTTCCTAAATCTCAGTTTTATTATTATAAGATTGGTTGCCTATAGTACATGGATGTGGCTTCTCTGAGTTAATGAATTAGAAAATGAGCAAGTAGTGATTTGAAATTGCCTAATTGTCTTAACTTTAAAAATCTATGTATTAATGAATTTCATTTATTGCCTTTGACATATCCCCTCCTTGATTTCTCTTGGTGTCTGTGTTTTAGTGTTTCATGCATGAAGTGAATGAATGGAAGAGATACTCCTGGGTACAATTGGGGTTTGCACTCATATTAATCAAAATAATATTCTGATAATATTCTCGACACAATTAACTTTTAGCATTCTCATATAAATGACTTGAAGGCCACTGGCTGAAACAGGGGGTAAAAGTTATCTAAGTGGAACCCCAACTTCAGAATGCTTCCTTCAGTGAGCATGCCTGATACCTTTTCAGCACCAGGTGAAGACCTCTTTATTCCCTCCAATTTTTTACATGCTTGGCTTTATATTATTTTATAGTGCAATACTATTATTATTATTATTATTATTATTATTATTCTATACGGTCTATTATTTTCATAGAAATCTCAAGACGGATTACAATTTTAAAAACATAGAAACAATTTATAGCACTTGATTAAAATAGGATTAAATCATATATATATTAAAATTAACAATTAAAATACTGGTTCAACAAAAAGTTTTGGTCTGGCACCAAAAAGAATAAAGAGTTGGTACTAATGAATCTCTATGCAGAGCAGATTCCACAAAGGAGGTGCCACCACTGAGAAGGCCCTTCTGCTTGTAACAGCCCTCCTCAGTTCCTTCAAGGAGGGCTCTCAGAGAAGGACCTCTGTAGAAGATCCTAAGAACTGGGCAGGTGTATAAGGATAATACACATAGTACTGGAACGCAGGTCCCATTATGTTAAATGGAGCTCAATCCTAGATAAACAGGTATAGGAATGTAAACCTTGAAGTACAATCCTCTGTGTGCTTACTTAGAAGTAAATTCAATGGTGCTTATTCCCTATTAGGTGTGCCTTATTCCAGGATGCAATCCTCTACCTACTCACCTATGAGTAAGCTCCATTGAAATAATCTTACTACTGGCAGACCTGCTGTCCTTTCTTATGCTACTATAACAGTGTCATCATATTTCTTGCATATTTTATTTAAAATAATATAAATAATAATTATATAATAACTATATAATAATTGTTATAATAATTATAATAACATAAATAAAATAATATTTGCTGCTCTGGAACTGAAGAATGAATTGGGTCTTCTATGCCAGCATCTTCTAAAGATCTTCTATGCCAGCTAATCAGAAATAAATTAACTCAGCAATGATACATTCCCACCACAGAATGGTAACTATGTATGATTCAGGGGGGAAATGATCATGCTGAAGACAAAATTTCACTGACCTGTTTGCTTCTTTAGAGACATATCTCCCTCACTGGGGACATTCAAAAAGCCTCTGGGCCGTCATCGGAGTGGGATGGTGTAACTTAGTGCCCTGTAACTGCAGGGGGTTGGACCTAATGGCCTCCTGGCCCCTTCCAGCTCTACTATAAGCCTTCTTCAGGTGCATGAGGGGCCTATGAGGACATGCAGGCTAGCTCTGCTCACTTATGCAGTGACAATGCTCTGAAGCTAATGTGTAATCTGCTGAGCCAAAGCAGAGTACCTTTATGGTGTACCTTTGCCTGCTCAAGGAGGGTTCCCATCTCTGCTGGTGCATGATGTGCAACTGAGAGGGCTGCACCACAGGCACAATGGAGGCCTCATCACACATTCAGAAGTGCATATCTGAAGAGGACTGTACATCTTTAAGAAAGATGCAGACAAGCTGGAAAGGGTTCCAAGGAGGGCAACAAGGATGATCCAAAGACTGGACACAAAGTCCCATAAGGAGAGGTTGAAAGAACTGGGCAAGTTTAGCCTTGAGAATGGAGGACTGAGAGGATAGCACTCTTCAAGTACTTGAAAGGATATTACAAAGAGATAGGTTAGGATCTCTTCTCGGTCATCCCGGAGTGCAGAACATAGAATAACAAGCTCAAGTTGCAGGAAGCCCAATGCTGGCTAAATATCAGGAAAAGTTTCCTGGCTGTTAGAGGAGTTCCTGGTTGTTAGACAATGGACCCAATTAGCTAGGGAGGTTGTGAGATCGCCCACACTAGAGGCATTCAAGGTGCAACTGGACCTTGACCTGCGCCCCATACTGAGCAGGGGGTTTGACCTTCTGACTCCTTATCTCTACTATTCTTTGATTCTGTAACTGAGTATTATGCACACCACTCTCCTTTGTGAACTGAACGTGTATCTGGATGACACCAAATGTTCCCTGCGGCTGCCAAAGATCAGAAAGCACATCTGAGCTGTTTTTTCTGACTTATTTCATTCATCAAGGAGCCTCTAAAACCTTCCACAGGTCTCTTGGTGATTTGACGTAGGATAGTTATACAGAAAATCCATCCCTAATTTTATCTGTCCATACATCTGATTTGCCTGAGAACAGTATTAAAAAAATCAGGTTCCTGATAAACTGTGACAAACAGAACACAGCAATGACCAGTGCACACAAGGAAGCTGTGGGCCTACATTGCTTTAGCAAGATCTCCAAACCACATGCCAAGCCTCTTTTGAAATGGAAGGGCATTTCAGAAGTATAAGAAGGAGGAAAGTGCTGGTGGGCAAATGGAAGCCCTTGGCTGCATCCAAAGTAGCTCTCTGAACCCTTGGCCTTGCTTTAAGCACATGTTTAGCCCAGTGGATGCTAATAAGATGTTTGACTGCAGCAGAAGGTGGGCACATGGAATTTTGGGTAGCTTAGACATTTAACTGATATATCTATCATCACGAGCAAACATATTACTACGTGCATGTGCACACACGCACACAAACACACACACACTTTTATGTTTACATTCCTTGGGGAATTTTGCAGAGGAGGGAGCTATTTATTTTCACACTATTAATGTTCTCCTGCCAGAAAGAAGCAGTGCAAGCTTAATAGCGCATTATTTCTATGTCTCGGGGGAAGAGGATAGGAGAGGATGGAAATGTGTTTATGAATGTAATATACTTTGGATTAAGTTATGAGGCTCTTTTATCAAGGATGGCCCTGTTACAGATGTTACAAGCACCTGTTGAGGATGAAAGAAATTAGAAACAGAGGCTTGTGGCACTCCTGCAATTGGGTCTTCTCTCAACTCTCTAGTTTGAAATCCCTTTTATTCAGATGCAAAGCAAGCTTCAAGCTGGAATGGAAGTAATAGGTGTGGTTCTCCATGACAATTGCATCTTCCCCTCTTATTAATAAGTTTTAATATCTTAATTTATACATATTATATGGGCTTGCATGCTATAAAGTGGCGAGGTCTCATTTCCTTCTCAACATTCCATTATTTCCAAATTGCTCCTACTTAGAGTCCATTCCCCAGTTATGTGGGGTACATCCTATGCAGAGGTCGGTGAGTTCTCTCAAGCTGAAATCAGATTGAGACAATGATGATGGTGAGCACAAGAAGAGAATTCATGGGGAAAAGGCTATTTGCTCCTGTGCTACTCTGCATTGGCTCATAATTGCTGCCTACCAAGCAACCTCGGATAGGGTTTGATCTGGTCCCTGGTTGATCCCATTTTGCTGGTCCAGCCATTGTTTGATGCAACAGGAGCCCCCCCCCCCCCTGCTCCCGTGCCACAAGAGCAGGGAAAGAGATCAGCCAGCATCTCTCTATGCTCCCCTTCCTCTTTTTAAATTTTAAACCCAGGAGAAGTTGCTCATAATTAAGAGAGAGAAATGCATTCCTAATTAATATTAGGATTATGGATGTATAAGCGGAATTGATTTCCAGTTGCAGTTACATGAGGCACAGGACTACAGCCTACAGAGCAATGTAGGTGGAGGATCTACTCCAGAAGTGGGTCACCTGGTGCCTTCCAGATCTTTTGGACTACAGGTCCCATCTGCTCTATCCAGCATCACCCAGCATCAGTGGTTATGGGAGTTGTATTCCAAAACAATCAGCTTGCATCTCCAATTTAGAGGCTAATATAGTAGGTTTGTGACCCACTCCAGGAAGCCCACACCTAGGACGGCCAATTATGGATCACCAAACAAAGAAGAGGGAGTGTCACCAAAAATAAGGATACAATCTCCATGTGATTTATATGTGTATAGATGCTAATTTAGAAATCATGATCAGAATTTTGATAAACACACAATACGTCTTGTCATAATGTAGAAGACTGACCAAATAACCCACCTGCCTTCCCAGTCTGCTGTCCCAAAAGCTTCCATGGCTCTTTATCTTTACTATATCCTTCGACAGGGCAATCCTTCAAAGAGAGGGCAGTCCTCTGGCAGTCCTTCAAACAGACAGCTGTCATCTGCAAAAGAGGACACATGGCCAGTTCATACACCCCACATCCCAATACTCATCACTGAAGGGCCTGTGGTACTGCAGCTACAAAAACCAAAACCAAAACCAAAGCAAGTTAATGACCCAGTGTTGAAGACCGATAGGTGACCATGAGGGTGATGTAACCAACTTCTTGAGCATAAGTAGAAGCAGAAGCAGGGTGTCTGAAGGCTTGCCAGAAGAAGAAAAAAGGAAGGGTGTTGGTAATACCTTTCCATGGGGAGCTACAATCAAGTGGAATCAAATCCTGACACCTAATGCAACCCTTCATTTTTCATAGAGCTTGGGCCTTCAAGCTGCAGTGATCAAGGTAGGACCCAGAGAGCTTGATTTCTGCTAGCTAACCTACATTAAACCAAGAATGTTCCCAACACAGGAATCAGTATAGGGCAATCTCACCCCCTACCCTGTCCATCAGTGCCTTCTAGTCAACTGCAGTTGGTTTATTTCTAAGTCAGCAATCTAATATGCTCCTACTTGGAAATTGGTCCAGGTAAGCTCAATTGGATTTTCTTCTGAGTAAATGTGCATAGCACCAGGCTGCTTGTACGTAGAAGCAACATAGTTGAAGTGGAAGGATGACTGCAGAAGCTATAATGTATTTTTCTCTCACAAATGATGTTTTTAAAGCTGTCTAGATTTTCTATTAGTAGCCAGATTTTTCCTCTGAGATCTAAGTCCTGTGATCTATATCTAGAGAAGATAATTCTGGTAAGCCAGAGCCAGTGCCCACAATTACTTTAACTGATATAAATCAGGAATAATTGTATTGAATTAAAATGATTTATTTTAAGCAATACAAACAGGCAATAATGAGATGCAAGCATTACGCAAATGGGTTTAAACTGGAAGAGGATGTTTTTCTAAAGCAGTTTCAGAGCCAGACCTTCCTAGGCCATCGTGCCTGTCTGAAGACTTTGCCATGTAGTTTAGAAATTAGAGATGGGGTGAGGACAATCTAGATTGCCTGGAATGTGATTATGAAAACAGGAGAGTCAATCTTCTGACCACCTACATCTTGGATAGTCCAACTGATGTGAATAAAATTGCTGTTTGATTGCTGAATTAAAGCCAGATATATTTCTGGAAGTCTTGTACAAAGAGCTTAATGTGAAGCCCACAAATGTCAGTGGCAATGTCCATGAAAAAAATTGACTAACATTTGACTGTACCATTATTCTTCCTCAGCAGAAATGAAGGAATTTGTGGACAAATTGGTGCATTTAGCCAACAAATGGATTGAGAGCAGATTAAAAGAGTGTAACTTGCTTAAAAACTTGCTACCTGTACAATTTCTAGAGCCATGGTGGATTTGCATATTGGCCCCAAGCCAATGACTTTTTGTGTACTGGTCACACACACTGCAGCTTCCCCTTCTGTTTTCCCTAAATTACTGCATGTGTGTGGCTTCTGGGGACTCATTTTGCTGACAGTGATTGCAAAGTTTCCCAGTCAGTTCACAGCTACTATCCAGGAATGCCTCATTCTCCAGCTGTTTTCCAATAAAAAGGGCCATCCTGCGCATGTTTAGGCAGAACAAAAGTCCATAGTGGCTATGGAATGCTGGGAGACATAGGATTATTTTTTTCTGTCTAAACACACATAGGATACCACACTAAAAGTATCATGGGAGTCTTTTTGGGGCCAAGGTGCTGTGTACATTTGCAGCCTCTCAAATTTGAGTAAAGTAAAAAAGCATCTTGCACAGAATAAGACTCTCTGGGAAAAGAAATCAGCTGAATAATAATTTGTTTTGAGAATGTATTCTAATTGTTAATTAAGGGTACAATCCTAGGGCCCTCATGACGTTGTCTGGAGCACTGTGGGATTACTTCAAGTACCCACCTGCCCTCCTTGCAGCTGGCCTGTGTGAGGTTGGGAAGCAGGTGTGTGAGGGGAGCGAGGGCAGAACGGCTGGAGCCACTGGCTTCCACCACACCCAAATGGTGCTTCCCCCTCCTTCTCTCCCCCCCTGCAGGGCTCCATCTAGATGGCCAAAAATGGCCATCTGGATGAAACGCAGGGTGCCAGGCTTACATGCACCCAGAGCAGAGACCATAATCTTGAACCCAATTCACTTCTATCAATTAGTATCTCTCCCTCCCCTCTCCTTTCTGTGTAACTTTAGACAGACAAAAAAGAGTCCTGCAAAGTCCAACATTCCTCTTACTGGTGGGAGAACATCTATAGGACATGTATAGGGTTGCATTCTTAAATATAAATCTAAAAATTGTGCAGACTGCTGATTAAGCAGTTCTGTTTTACTTTATTTTTATTTATTGAATTTATTTTGCTTATTGCTACACCAGATGTTGGATTTCAACCATGAAAATGATAATTTTGAAGGGTTGAAATGTTCACCATGTTTCTACAAACATTAGCCTTTGTTTAGGCAAGTCTGTTTGCCCTGCCCCTTGCTACTGCTCTTCATTCAGCAGGATCTTCCTCATTCTGGGAATAAGTTCCCAATCAGTCAGAGATCCTGTAACCGGCAGTGCTATGTAGCAAAGCCACATACCCAATCAGATGGCATCAGATGAGCAAACAAAGCCAGCTACATTGCCCTCACTGTGAACGGGTATTACGTGGGGACCAGGATACAATGTGCCAAGCCATTGAGGTCAGCAGATGGCATGTTCTTGGTGGCACCACGTGTATCTATAGCCTCAGAGTTAAGCAGGCACCAACTCTTTATTGAGTTTGGTGACTTCTGAAAAATCCTTATCTCAAGCAGGCTTCCTGTACTAACCAGCTCTCCCTCATTGCCTCTGTCCCTACACAAGAAATAGTGAAATGAATAGAGAGTTTTCTGTTTTTCAAAAGTTTTTCACTTGCATGCATGCAAAATGCTGCCCATTTTGGCATAGTTTTGATCAACCAAAAGATCTAAGTAGAACGTAAAAATTTATTGCTGTCTCTCTCATATACTCAACTGAATGTATCTATAATAGTTACAATATGACGATTATACTAAGAAACAAGGCGTGTCTACTCAGAAGAAAGTCTCATTGGTTTCAGTGAGGCTTTCCCCCACGTAAGTGGGTACCGAATTACAGCTCTAAAACACAGCTTCCTGCATGATCCAGCTTGCCATACTGGCTGGGGCATGCTAGGAATTATGGGAATATTTTCTGCCTAAACACACATAGAATTGCACCTTTCATGAAATAAAACAGCAAAGTCGCTATTGTTCTGTCATTTATTGAGCTTGCAGAACTTCATCTTGTTTGATGAGGTTACATAGCAGCTGTATAGGATGAATCTCAAGTGCCTGCATTTTCCACATGAACAACTGTGGCCTATCTTTGGCCAGGACGTCTCCAATTATATTGTTTTTATATTGTTATTATGTTATTTATTGTTGTGAGCCGCCCCGAGGTTTCGGCAAATGGGGCGGCATAGAAGCTTTCTAAATAAACAAACTGTGGTTGGGAGAGAGCTGCCCAAATGGGCCCATATGCAAGGCACTCTGAACACAGTGTGTAAGCACATGACACGGGTCGCAGATTCACATCCGGAATGCAATTCAGAACAGCAGCTCTCAGCTTTGTTGCCCATAAGATGTTGAAGTCTCCAATGTACAACAGTTACGAGACTCCGGTATTGCTCCCAACAGTCTCCTTGTGAACAGGAAAGATTCTCTTATCAGCTTCAGGTTTAGCTTATTCTGATGCAATTTTTCCACACTTACACCTTAAAAAAAAAAAAAAAACCCAGTGGGAAAATTCCCCTTCCCACTTCATTTTTACCGAGCCTGCCACACTAACACTACAAAGTGAGACATCAGATGCTTCATAGAAAGAAACAGTTTTCATAAGAGAAAGATTTCTTTATAACACCATTATGCTAATGGCTTGTATGTTATGACACTCATGGGAATTTCACTTTGCCAAAGTGCTGGAAAAAATGTTTAAGCCAGCTTTAAAAAAAAAAAAAAATCAATATTCAAGACCTCACTGGAAATGAACCAGTTTCTTAGACCGACGTGCCTAGTTTGCAGGGATAGGGAAAGATCACAAATCCAATCCTATTTTAAAAACCAAACTATGATTATTTCTTAGCTGTGTAAGTTAGCTATGGACGCACCAGCGGGCCTTGGGCAACCACGTTCCTCCCCCCTCTTTTTGGGAAATAATATTTATTTTCTTCAGTGAAGAAAGAAAGATACATAAGAAAGACACCAGAAATGATGCTGCATTGTTGCACCATTCTTGGTTGTGCTTTGTCCAGGAACCAGAACCTGTACCTCGGCTTCAAGTGAACACAAGGCTTTTGGTTTAAAGCAGTGTCATGTGCACTCACAAAATGGCTGCCATGGTAGTCGTGGCCACTCACTGAAACACTCACCTCCCAGAATGCAGGCTGGTGAAATGGAAAGGAAAGTAACTTGGCCAATAACCTAAATACCAAGCAGGTGTGAAGGCCTGAGCTCCAAATCACAAGTTCACTCACTGGAACCCACATAAAGATAGGGCTGGGGTGTAGTGCTTCCCTTTGCAGAATGCCAGCCCTAAATAAAATTACAATTATGTATCTGAAGAAGTAAAATAAAAATCAGAGGTGGAAGAGAAGCTGGAAGGCAACAGGAAGAATGCCAATGGGCACCACATTGGAGAACCCGTGGTAAAAGGACTGACCAAAACATCAGAAGAGAAGACATCAATCAGTCACCTTGAGAGTATATAAGCCTCCATCCCACCCAAAATCCTATGATTTTTGCTTTCCCAAAAGATTTTACATAGTTACCAGGAAACAAAACCTGACTGAATACTTTTGCATAGCTCTGAGAAGAATGGCTTTGCCTGAGCAGTTTGAGAATCATCTAGTCCACCATTATTTCCAACAACATCAGGTAGTGCACTGAAATAATTCTTGACCGTGGTGGTGATAGTCTTATATGGGCCCCAATTAAAATGTTCATATTTTGAGCTCCTGGCAAACATCTGTCACCTCCATGCCCACTCAGTT